ATAGTGTGAGTAGCAGACTGTGTGACTGTGTATAAGTAGCTGGGACAGCAGGTGAAGCCAAGTCTGCTGTTATGGAAGCAGACTACTTGCACCTGTCTCACCCCTGGCAGACCAGTGGAATATGTTTGCGTGTAGGGGCAGGGCAGTGGGTGTGCACGGGAGTCATACTGCACAAAAAGCACTTCTCCTTGCAGGGGTCTGACATGCAACAATGAAAAACATCAGATTATACAAACAATTTCCACTGGATGTGTAAAAAAATGTACAACTCTGCTTAGAGATATTGTTGTAAAATTAAAGTTCCTGCTCACCATGAAAATTATTAAGCTATGGTATTATAAAATCATTCACCGTGGGAAATAAGAAAACTTGGCCTACAAATTAAAAGCTGAAACTGCAGCTGTGGCTGTGGAGAATTTCTGCTGCACTGGGGCAGCAAGCCAAAATGTTCTCTCCACCCTGCTGAGGGGCCTCTACACACGCTCGGAGGCTCTGCTTCACTACACTTCACTTCAGCGACTGTCATTCTGCACGACAGCTGGAGAGCTTTGCCCACACAGGACCACAAATACAAGCCCCATAGCAACAGGCTTTTTACTAAACAAATTAATTTCCTATGATGGGCCACATGCAGTACAGCAGATTTAATATTATTATCTACATTTCTATCCCTTCCTCCTTAGGTGCTGTTTGTTCCTTGTTGCCAAGGCCACACTTCTGCAGAATATAATCAAGAATAAGTGTGTGTTTCACCTCAATTACTGCCAGAATGACAGGGCACAGACTTGCAGCTTAGACAATTGAGGTCGGGTGCCTGCCAAAAGGTTCATACAGTTCTGCAAAGCCACTAACTCCAAAAAGATGCTGTGCAAGGTGTCATTCAGATGTCAGAGGCCAACATGACACCCTACACTACACACTGCACTGCTGCTATTATGATGAGGGGGGCTCACATGGTGATCAGTGTCAGAAAGATGACCTTACTGTGTCCACACTTCATTCAGTGGTACACAAAACCATCCATGTTCCATAGACACAAGATCTGACCAGCAATACAATATAATCATACTTACATACTGTAATGCAAGATGAAAGTGCTCTTGTGCACTTACCATGACTATATTTGGTCTTCCTTGTCAGCTCTGTGCAGCAAGCAATAATCTGGAGCCTACAGGGTGAAAAAATGCTGATGTAAGACTGGAGAGCAGCATTGAAAAACATCCAGGCCCCTTTTGGTGAAAGTGTCATTCACCTCCAGTGTAGTGGAAATCATCCACCAAAGATTTTGTTACTGGATTGTGCTGTTTGCTCAGTGTGCTTCCTGACAGCTGGTTAGCTACTGTGAGAGATCATTTTCTATTAGACCTGAGGTCGCATTTACCTGAGGCGAGGTGGAATTTACATTAAACCAACTGATAAGAAAACTCCTCAGTCAAATTTTCCATTCTGATATAGTCTAATCTATATTGTAGCCATGCAGACAACATATGGACACAGGGCTACTTCATATTCAGCATTTATGCTAAATACTGTATTGTTTGTTTAAGACAGAACAGACGCGCTCCCAGAATAGCATGCACAGTTACAATATCAGAATGAAGACTTGTGGGGTGGGGAAGGGGGGGTCAGGGCCTTTATATATGCAGAGCCACACCCTTCATCTGCACCCCACACAGCTGAATAAACTTCGACTTCTTATCTAATTGTAGTTTTTTCTAATTAATATTTTTCTTTGGAAAACAAGCAAAGATAACGTGAGCAATCTTTTCATCTTCACTTAACTGCTGTCTGTCAGATGTCTCTGTCTGACTGATGTACTTCACGGCGCAGTCATTGATGCATCAGCAAACTTCTCGCGTTCATTTCTAACGTGGTCTATTGTTTCTGAAGATGCGGTTTTTAATCCGCTGAGATCGGGCTGAAGAAGCCTCCAAACAACAGATAACAGCAGATAACAGCCTACCTTGTCAGTGCAGGAAGTATCGGTGCTGTGTGAACGTCGTCCTACTGTCTGTGCTCCCCCGTCAGACTCCAGCCAGCCACTTACGTGTCCTCTATGACGCAACGACTGCGGGCGCTCTTTGACGCAGTTTCTCAGCGTGTGTGAGGGTGAACATAGTTGGATAGTGTCTAGTGGTAGCCGATAAAAATATTGTTTTAAAGGTTCGTGAAGAGTTCTAACTGAAATCTGACACACATGGGCTGCGCGTTTGAATCACTCGTACTTTTACGCACAAAAGCGCAGATGCCGCTGCTTCAGCCGAAAAATAGGCACTGAAGTTTATATTCTACCATATCTTTTTTCTGCAAACAAGCCATACGAAAGGTGCATCACATAAAAGAAGACATTTAAATCAATTAAAAAAAATTACATGTCATGCTTGGAAAGAAAGCTGCTTTTTCTTTAAACCTTGTTGGAATTTCTGAAATTTGGGGCGTGACAGAGTTCAAATGTGACTTCTACAGAGGGGACTTTGCCTGCTCTATTTCTGGCCAGTAAGCGGGGACAGGCACCGGGTAGGAGAGGAGACGGGGGAGGAGGCAGAAACGACGTGAGCATTGTAGGTTGCAAAAGGTCAAATGTTTGCAATATGAAATAAGAGCCTGGCATTTTACTGAATATGAATGAAGCAAATAAGAAAGAGCATTCACAATTTCCCCCAAAACCAGCGATGATATCAGGAGACACGAACCTTGGTACAAAAAGCTTCATGTAAAATATCAAAGATTACTTTCAACTACATAATTCTTGGCATTTTATTTTTAGTTGCTTGTGATGTTTTGTGTAGCTTTTAACCGCATTGGTTCTGTGACAGCACTGATAATGTGACACTCAGTGTTGGTGAGTAACTAATTACAACTAGTTACTGTGATTAAATGACAAAATAAATGTATTTGTAATCAGTTACAGCTACTGAGAAAAATATGTAATGAAATTACAGTTACTAATCAAAATGTTGGTGATTACATTACATTTTGAAAGTAAGCTTCCCAACACTGGTGACACTATATATGGAGACATGATGGCAGAAGAGAAGAGATAGCAAACCTTGGAAGCAGAGAGTCCCGTCACTTCATAGCAGAGCCATGACTTTTATACTGACTGGAAGCCAAAACCAGAGTCAGTGGCTTTGGTTTTGCGTTGTGTTTAACTGGCCTCCACTCACGGCATAAGTATGAATCACAATTTTTTTTTACAGAGAATAGAGAATTACACCTCTATTTGAACAGCTACACCCAAGCCTGGGGCCTCCCTTTATTTTCATAGATTGTCTAATGAGAATGTTCTTGGTTAGGGAGGTTGCTCATTGGTGTATTTGAAATCTCTTTTTAGACATAAAAATATATTATAAAAAATAAAGTATGGAGTTTTTATTTTTAAGGTCAAAGAAATAAAATATTTTTTATTCTGCATGGACGTTACTTTTGCAAATGATAATTGCCATTAAGGCAATTTTAAAACAATCTTTAAAAACTATACATCAAGGTCTCACGTTCTCATTCCGCCACATTAAATCACACGCCAAAGAACAATCCTTGAGCCTCTCCTTCATGAAACATGAAACAATCTTTCTCTGCAAACAGGACAAAGTCTGAACATCAGACTTTTTTCCCACATTTCAGCACCAACACTGGTCCATATATCCTACACAGAGCATATTTTTATTGAGAAAAATATTCAAGACCTTCACTCGTACATAGTTTAGTAGCATCAAATTCACGTCACACATCAGTGGCCTTCTGTTGGTTGTCCTGCAACACTTAGTTTGGGTAAAAGGGGGTTTTGTATTGTTTTGGTGGCACTACATTGTCTAAGAGTGAAATTACAAACCTTTTTCTCAATACAATACAAATGGTATTTTTCCCAAGCTAAGAGGGATATTTACTAAGGTTGTGTGGCTCATTTTTGCCACTAAACAGTGAAATTCCTCGTGTGTCCGTCACACCTGGCCAATAAAGCTGATTCTGATTCTGAAATAGCAGCTGTTCATATTTCAAATTTGGTACAAACCTTCACTTGGATTCAAGGATGAAGTGATTATATTTGTTGGTGAAAGGTCAAAGATCCCATTCCTATGAATTTGACTGGTAGGCGGAGGCATACAAGCATGAAGCGGTTAATTCTAGTTATACCTGACAGGTGAGCTGTCACAGTTTATGAGCTGCACTCATATTTACAAAGCAGCTGTCCTGAGGTTCAGCCCTGAGCTCCATCACAGTAAGTATGATCTGTAAACTCTCTAAAATCCATAACAGGCTATTTTTCTGTCACGTCAAGTTTATTAATACAAGTAATTTTCTGTTTTGTTGTTTAATTTCACTCCCATACAGGACACTAATAAGTCAATAAGTCAATTACAATATGTCAAGATCATGTGACAATGAAAACACATTCTACTGTGCCACATGCTGAGATTATAGATTATAGATGAGGTTGGAATTCTCAAATGGAAAAATACAATTTATATGTAAATATGATAGCATGTGTTTCTAGTGGGGGTGGATTCAGTATTTTACCTTGTCTCTGCTTGCCTCTCCATTTGTCCTGAATGTAGTTTTCTTCTGCTGTGTGCTTAAAGTTGAAATGACAGTCCATTGGCCTGTAATGTGTTGGGGAGGGTGATAAATAGGGTGCATTTTGTAAGTTATTGCAGAGTGGGTTATATGCAGTATTTCTATGAATAGGAAAACAATCTGTTATGTTGTAGCCTGTGTTTCAAAGCATCATTGTACATGTTTGGCCTCTGGGGCCCATCTTAGTTGGGAGCTGACTAACTTGCCTATTGGTAAAGTCCGCCCCTGGGACATAATGCAGGAAGGGGCACTATGTAGTTGATGTATACTGGCCTCTTCTGCTCCAAAAATGCATTGCACACCAACTGAGAGAACTTAAGCGCAATTCTAACTGAGCTGGGAAAACAGCAAAATACTGGACCAAATATAATCCACCACAGACAAACAAGAAATTGTTTATTTCTGAAATGAGCAAAAGGACATGAAATAAGGTTATTTTACAGTTTAGAAATATTTTATAATTCATAAAGTTTTTATTTTTCCCTTTTTAGCCATATATTTGACCTTATCTGATTGGAAATAGCTTATTTTATTCATAATAATTCATAATAGTGGCATCTGGGAATTTCATTGGTGTAATTATAACAGAATAATTAATTCTATTTTGCCAGATATTTCCACAAAATAGGTTATATTAACAAAAAACTTTGTAACTAGCTCACAAATTGAACACCTTGAAAGTCTGAAATGAAAACAAAGCACCAAATGAAGCACAGAAAGAAGTATGTCTGACATTCTGATTAGGATTTGTGGTTCTCACCCTGCTGTTCCCATGCAATAATGAGCACATTATGATCCAAACTGGTTGAGAGTGAGAAAGGGTACTTTGTTAGTAATTCCACTGAGTGGGAGGGTCACACAGGCCAGTCTTGTATAAAATGTAATAATCATGTTTCCTACATGCAAGTCAACAGCACGGACCTTTTTGCTTCATTGCGCTCTTTTCACCACATAGTCACCAGTCGCTGCTTGTGGGACTGAAGACAAGGTAAAGAGCTTGTGTATCTACTGAATAAGATTATCATCAGCAGATTTAAATCCAAGTCCTTTGCTTTAATATGTATCTCTCGTTTGAGTTTTGGGCATGTGCACTACTGCATCTAACATATGCACACTGAATGGCACTCATCAAAGAACATCAACTGAGATACAAGGTTTTATGAATCAGATTTTATGATCAAGATCAATCCTCTGATCATAAAGCTTCATGTGACATAGCAGTTATTTAGTTAAGTATTAAACCCATGGTCCCTCTGGAAACGGTGTCTCAGCCAGTGAGATCCGCACATTGGAGCTCTGCGCTTTAAATTTAGTCAAAGGTACAGCTGTGTGCACGCTTGCTGGAGTAGATGCCGGAAGGGATTAGGTGAGCTGATATCCCCTGATGGGGGATGAGAAGGTGAAAGCTACCTCTCAAAGAGTCAAGGCTGCAGCCTGCTACATACATGAAAGCTGCTTTGTTTTTTTTAAGTCACAGCACCGTCTGGCAGACTCACACCTCCAAGCAGGGAGGGGTGCACAACTTCTGTAAGGCAAGCAGGCAAACTCGAACAGAGCTGCAGAGACACATTCATAAGCTGCTTCTAAGCAGCATATACATACAAACATACTCTGATAACATGCACCATAGCTTTGATGGGTATGTATTGCCTCAACAGCTAAAACCTGACCTACTTTCTTTTTATAATGAGTAACAGTATTTTATTAATTGGCTGTGGAACATTTGTTTCTGCTGTTCAGATGTTTTTCCTTTTCACTGGTTTCTTTCCTGTGAAGGACAAACTCCAAAGTCATGGACAAATAAGTCGTAGATTATCTTGAAGGCATAATCAGGAAGAGATTATCAGCGGCACAGCTCTCATTAACCTTGTGTTACCCACGAAAAGTGCTACTTTTTTCTGAATTTCTGTACACCCCACCCCCCAAAAATTAAGAAAAGAAAACAAACTGCAACACTGACCTTTATAAATTTTCTTAGTGCTTAGTTCATTTCCTTGTTTTTATTACTTTATCCCAGCACAGAGTGTGAAGCAAAACAATGGGAGATTAAAGCAAAGATCTCATATTTATTTCTTGGTGTGTTTTTAATTAAATGTTATCATTTGATTTTTAGCACCAGCAGCTCTGAATGAAGCTGAGAGGAGAGATTATCTCTGACATGATACTGCTCTGGTGAGGTGAGAACACATTTTGCAAATTATAAAATGGGGTTTCTTTTTCTTTTCTTGCCAGGGACAAATTATAAATGAATCTGGTAAACCTCAAAAACATTTAAGGAAGTAGACATGTTAAGGCAAACTGTGCAGGCTGCTGTTTTTTTTTTTTTTGCAATGTGGGCGGCAATAAATGTTTCAGGTATCAGCATTATCATATCAGGAGGCTGATAAAGAAGTATAAAAGAATAGTGATTTGGAGAAAGGAAGGGTCTTTTTTGAGCACATCTGTGGTGAGTAAATGTATTCTTCTTTGAATTTAAATGAAATCAAATATTAGTAGACCGTGTCACCTGCCCTGTTAAGGTTTAAGGAAACCACATTTATTCAAGTCTCTGCTCTTTGATACCTTTCATTGTAGTGTTGCTCCACTGGCATTTTGCCTGAATGCAAGGCCACTCTGACTAAAACAGATTTAGATAATAATGTGTCTTTGAAGATGAAATGTTCTAAACAGGGGTTGACTTGGCAATTATTCACTGATCCGCCCTGTCCTTCCTCACTCCTCTCCCCTCACTCTTCTTTCCACTTACTTCCTCTTTGTCAATAGCATACTGTGGGACTCCCACCTGTCACTTCTTGTATAATTCTTCAACTTTCCATTGTGATCCAAACCCCCAGAAGCATGTTGTACACCTATTTAAAGTCCTTTCTGGTGAGCCTGTCTCGGAGGAAACCCCTGGAGCCCGAGGGGGAGCAGTCTACGTTTAACCGATGCCTTACCACGCTGGACCTGGTGGCGCTCGGTGTTGGCAGCACCCTAGGGGCCGGGGTGTATGTTCTGTCTGGAGAGGTGGCCAGAAGCACTGCCGGACCCAGCATCATCATCTCCTTCTTCATTGCTGCCCTGGCATCCATATTCGCTGGGCTGTGCTATGCAGAGTTTGGGTCCCGGGTTCCTAAAACAGGCTCAGCATACCTGTACAGCTATGTGACTGTTGGGGAGCTGCTGGCTTTTATCACAGGGTGGAACCTGTTACTCTCCTATGTCATAGGTAAGTGTGACACTCAGGATTTGTTCATCAGTGGATAATCTGTTTATGAGAATATGTTGTTTTCTAATAATTATTAATTAATTTGCCTTTTACCTGTATTGACCAGAGATGTTATTTTCAACTTACTCTACCTTAATGTCTGGCCACAGTTTGTAGCGGTAACACTTTACAAAAAAATAGTGTATAATATGACAAAAAATAACACAACCAAAATCATTTAGCAGGGGCAATTTCTAGCCTCTAGCAACAAGCAATAAAAGCTTCACACTTCCATTAGAATAGGTACTGTTCTGCTTGTAGAGACGCTGCATTGGCCTGAAATAGCTTTTTGTGCAACATGAATGCAACTAATATGGTGATGTATCAATGAAGTAAACATGAATTAACATTCCTTATCTGATTATCTTTTTGGTATGAACTAATAACAGAAAGTCACAGTGAAGTGGTCATTTGTTAATGGTGAGCAACAGGAATACATGACAGAATAAGTCATGCATTAAGTCATGCATTAAGTCATGAGTCATGCGTTAGGTAAACGTTTGATTGGCATCCTTGCTGTAAATGGCTTTTGAGACTTCCACCCTGTGCAAAACATATCCTTCCCACTTATCTAATGCATTTGGCTCACTGAGAACATTTAAACCCATAAATGATCAACCAACAACATGATACTTAGATGGTCTCATGTGACCTTTCACCTGCCACAGAAGCCAATTCTTAATGAGTCTTTTATTAGTAAAAGTTTAGGTTTAAATATTTACTTGGTGCTTTCCTTTATTCCCATCTTCTTTATGGACAGCTTGTTAAGTTTATTGCTTTCCTGTTAATAATCCAGAAGAGTGATTTAAAATAACTGAGTCATGAGAAAGTGAGAAAGGCCCAGGTAGAAAAATATCATCATCAGTGAGTCCTGTTTATGATTATAGTTAAAGGTTGACTCAGACCTTTTAGTTTATTGCATCTCTCATTATCTGCTCAGGAACATCCAGCGTCGCACTGGCGTGGAGTGGGACATTTGATGACCTCATTGGGGATGTCATTTCTAAATACTTTCTAGAACATGCACCCATGGGCCTCCCTGGCCTGGCACCTTACCCAGATGTTTTTGCTGCAGTTCTCATCATGCTACTGTCAGGTGAGGTGATAAATCTAGTGTAACTATGGTGGTGACAGTTACAGTATACTGTACATATGAAAACACTTAACAATCTTTGTATTTTCCATGAAGGTCTTCTGTCGTTTGGAGTAAAAGAGTCAACGACAATCAACAAGATCTTCACAGCAGTCAACATCCTGGTGCTTCTGTTTGTGGCCATCTCTGGATTTATCAAGGGAAACATCTCGAACTGGCAAATCAGTGAAGAGGCTCTGATAAATGCCACAGCTGAACTCAAGTAATGTCAAAGAGCAGTATAATCCTGTCTATGTCCTGCCTTAACTACGGTGGTATCTCACTTTCAATAACTACTCTGTAATGCACTTTTTCACCTGTGCAGAAACCTGACCTCTACTGTCAATGTAACAAGTGTGTATGGAGTGGGTGGGTTTTTCCCATATGGCATTAGTGGAACGCTGGCTGGAGCTGCAACATGTTTCTATGCTTTTGTTGGATTTGATTGCATCGCTACAACAGGTAAGAGGACAACTGGACCTCTTATATATGGTTATTAGAGTCGAATAGATTTTAGCCATTGACTGTAAAAGTGATGGGCATGCTAAGAGCTACCAGAAGTGAAGCCACTAAAATTCGATCGCCCCCTGGTGGCTGGTTGAAGTAAGGGTCATAAATCCCACCTCCTTCATGTTAGTGGTTTGGACATGAGCCACACTACAAACTCAAAGTACAAATCCATAAAGTTTTTCCCAAAGGTCACGTCTGTGGTTTTTGGCACATATTATCACACAGATGTGTGTACAAGTGGTCATTTTAATGGTAATTTATTTGATGATATAAAAAGGGATGTATTTTTGCTTGATTTGTCAGTTTTGACAAATGCTGTCACTCAACTTATGGTCGCTACTGTGCACAGTCTGGTTGCAAAAAAGACAAGATGGCAGCTGTTGCATTCACAGTGTTTTAGCTTCATGTTTGCTTAGTGGAGTGAAGTGGTGATGCCATGGCCATTGCAAATATGTCAGTGCTTTTAGCCAATACAATAGGCGACTGTTTACTGAATAAATATAAGTTATTGAAATATTTTTGATAACTCTACAATAAATTATAATACATCATTCAAGACTTTTTTTTGCAAATTGTTCACTTAAATTATGTGAATTCTGCTTATGTGTAACAACTATCTAAATCTGACCTAAAATAAAATAATAATTTTTTAAAAATCCATATTCCAAAATATCCACTTACTGGGATATTTCTCGAGCTTTCAACCATATCTAATGCCCTTCTTCAGAGAAGATAGTTTTCTTAGTTGTCAAGCAGATAGTGGTCATCTTGTGACCTTAATATGAAATTTTGGACATGTGATAACAGCTGGTTGCACTGTGGTGGACAGCATGGTGCTATTTGCAGGGTAAACAAGGAACCTTCAAACTCAGCTGTGAATATGATGCAATGAGTTTCTTATATTCAATACTTGTATATTTAATTTAATAATACTCCATTACTGAAAGAGCAGTATATGATCCTTTTTCTCATCCTCTTCATCCTCCATCCATCCATCCATTTTCTTCCGCTTATCCGGAACCGAGTCACGAGGGCAGCAGTCTAAGCAAAGATGCCCAGACTTCCCTCCATACCATCAGGGGCAATGGCTGGGCCATCCCAAGGCCAGCCGAGAGACATAGTCCCTCCAGCGTGTCCTGGGTCTTCCCCGGGGCCTCCTCCCTCATCCTCATCCCTTTTATATCACATTGTTTTAAAGCTACTTCAGACAATGTTCTGACATTATTTGATAGATGTAATACAAACCAACAGATCAATTTCACTCCATTCACTCTTCAGTCTTCAAAACTCTGGGTGTAATAGTCTCATGTTAAGTATCAAACAATTTCAGATGTTTTCATGTTTGTGGGATATTGCTCTTTTAATTTCACATAATAAACAACTGAAGAATGTGTGTAACCTGACAGGCACATGCATGTATCTCCATAGGTGAGGAGGTGAAGAACCCGCAAAAGTCTGTTCCTGTGGGCATCGTGGCCTCACTGCTTATCTGTTTCCTGGCCTACTTCGCTGTGTCTGCTGCTCTCACTCTGATGATGCCCTATTACATACTCAGTGAAAAAAGTCCCTTGCCAGTTGCCTTTGACTACATTGGCTGGGGTCCTGCCAAATATGCCGTGGCTGTGGGATCGCTATGTGCCCTGTCCACCAGGTATAAAACTAGTGGCATAGTCATGGTCACGTGGCATGAATGTTGTTGGAGAATAAAAGTTATGGGCTAAAAATGCTTATTGTTTACTTTAGCAATAAAGACAGGCTCCAGGTATTGCAATGCTAGTCTAAGGGTTAGTCTGTCAGTCCACCATTTTGACCCAGACAGCTGTTGGATGGAATACCATATAATGTCCAGACACTCATGGTGATTCCCCGGCTTTTCATAAAGTGCCATTGTCATGTTGCTTTTTGACTAAATAATAATGACTTTTCCAGCCGCAACTTTAGCAATTGTTAACAATAAACCAAGATGATGAACAGGGTTTGATGAACCTGCTTAACCTATGACCTCGTCAATCAATAGGGACTCCTGTCTTAGCCAAGCCATTTCTAATATGAATACCATTTTGTTATATATAGCTGTAGATGAGCGTGGAAGTGCTTCAGTGACGCCAACCATCCAGAACCCAAATTCACTAGATCATTTCTGACTGAGAGAAACACAATGTTAAAATGGAATAAAATGCACAGAGCACAACCACATGAGAAAAGGCTGGATAATATATCACAGCACATTTTAGAAATATTAGATAAAGATTCATTAAAGTTGGTGGAGTCTAAATGAAAAATTTCCACTGCAAAGAAAAATGTGACACGATTTTACAAAGCAGTCACACATCTTAGTGGAATATCTGACTCCATTTTTAATCTCCACTGTAGTTCTTGAAACTAACAAAGTTTGCTCAGCAACTATTTACTTTGAAAATCAGGTCAAGGTCGGCTATGTGTATTTTAAGAAGGATGTGACTGAGAAAAAATAAAACACTAAATGTATTTTGAACCCAAAATATTCATCCATTTTCAACCTTCACACTAATAAACTATACCCATACAATGTTGTCGCCATGCAAATTCAAAACTAAGCCTAGCATGTTTGCACCTCCGATCAGACTTATGCTAGCAGTGCTTCTATTGGAAGCTAGCATTCAGCCAGTCTGATTTTAATTTAAATAGAAATGGAACTGGGCTGGTGCTAAATGCATTCATGTGGTTGCTGTGTGGCAGTGATTGTGTTTGTCTCTCCAGCCTGCTGGGCTCAATGTTCCCCATGCCCCGGGTGCTGTTCGCCATGGCAAGAGATGGCCTGCTTTTTCAACCCCTGACCAAAGTCACATCCAGAGGCAGTCCTGCTATAGCTACAATAGCTTCTGGCACTGTGGCAGGTACAGATGTTCCAGCAGTTCTAGGTATATGTGGTGAGGTGTCTGGACTTGAAGTAATTCTGTTTTCTCCGTTGTCATCATTAGCCATCATGGCTCTGTTATTTGACTTGGAAGCCTTGGTGGAAATGATGTCCATTGGCACTCTGTTTGCTTACACACTCGTGGCCATATGCATCCTAATACTGAGGTACATCCACCTCTTTATTATTCTATACTTAAAAAATGTTGAGCAAAACATGTTACATGTTTCTTTTGATTGCAATCGAGGTACCGGGTTGATCCATCTGAAGAAACAGACCTGAAGCCCAGAGAATCAAACATCAGATCTAGCTTCCTGAAGCCTCCTTCATCTCCCAACTCATCTACCGCACAAAGTGTCATAATTTTGACAATAATCTCTGGTATGTGTGACACAGATTAGTGAAGCAGCTTCTCAGTTGTTCCTTAAGCATGATTAAACATTATGGACAACCAACAGGTCCGTGATTATTTTTAACTTTCTGTTTTTTCCTGCAGTGGCATGTGTTGCTGGACTATGTGTCACCCTCTCTCAAGCCATAGAAGCTCTGTCTCGCTTGGAAGCATGGAGTGTGGCACTTGTTTGTGTTCTTGCTTTCATCCTGGTGCTCAATATTTTCCTCATCTGGAGGTACCCACAAAATCCCACTAAAGCATCTTTCATGGTGAGAGCATTTTAACTCTGAATCTGATCGCTCTGACATCGGTTTTGTGCATAACTGTTTTTATAAATATCATCTACAAAAGTCTCCTTTCTTCTCTTATAGGTGCCCTTACTCCCTGCTCTGCCTTTAGTGAGTACACTCATCAATGTCTACCTTATGGTGCAGTTAGGTGGGGACACGTGGATACGATATGCTGTCTGGATGTTAGTGGGTAAGATCATATTTCAGCTTGAGATGTTTGGGCAGCTTTTACCGAGTTAGCTGGTGAACTGTAATGATCCCCATCGCCTCTCTGCAGGGTTTGTCATCTATTTTCTCTACGGTATCCGTAATAGCACTCAGAGGAAACGCCTCATGGACGACAAGAAAATGATTGATACCATCAGCATCGACAAACCCAATGATGTCATCAAAGAAGAAAAATTCTGAGTTTGGCTGTGAGTAACTGCTTTGAGTGTGTAAACTCTCTTTGACCTGCACCTGTGCTGATCTGTTTCTGCAGTGTTTGGTGTCTGGGAGTGACAGTGTGACAGGTGTGTACAGTGCCAAAATGCAGACAAATGGACAGCCAGACCAACCTGCTAACTTATATTTCATATTGACATTTTATTACATGTTGATGGTTTGTAACTTACATAAACATTCTTACTGCCCACACTGAAGTGCTGCCTGACTTATTTTTGGACCTTCAAGGAATGATGATGTATCTTGAAGCCATGTGTATACAAAATATTGCAAATTAGGAAGCATGCATTTAAGAATGTAAACCTTACTCCCTTCTCACTGCCATATCATTATTTATCATGGTTATCTGTATATGTTGCCTTGTATCTAACTCTCATCTGTGTTCTGAAGGCATTAAAGCTCTAGCAAAGTATTTTCTAGATCTATTTTGAAAAAGGCAAAGAAAAATGTGGATCAAACATTATTTTGTAAATAATTACCATTTTATTACACTTAAATAACATGTTTACACTTACATATCAATTGACAGAGTTACAGTGGAGAAGATGTATGATGCAGATGGAGAAAATCTTTTGTGACATGTCCTTTTTGTCCCTAGCCTGTTTAATTATTCCCTCTATTCATTATTTATTGTTTCAAATGGTAAATACAGAAACTGTACATTTTGTCTGATTATATATTGTAAATCTATTCATTAATTAAATAAAAATAATCCTGTTTTCAAGGCAGCTACAATCTAGAGTTCATTTTCTGCAGGGTATGTTGATAAAAAAGTTTGTAGCATGTCACTTGAAAGAAAGGTTTATATTGTTCTCACAGGATACAGCATGATGGATTTAATCTAATATGCTAAATGTTTATTATGTGTATTGCTTAGATAAATGTCATTTCATGGGGAGTTATTATTAAGTATAGAGAAACTGTCAAGTCAATTGTATTTATATATAACCTATAAATAAACATTACAATTCTTACAGCAGATTACTGCATAGAAAATGATTTTGATTTTGGGACTGTTTCAAAGCATCTATAAACTATTTGGTGTATTACAAGAAAATAAAATTTAATTAGATAAACAGATGTACTCTAAGAGTGAACATTTTGAATTTTAAGATTAATCCCACATCTTTTTTGTGGGCTATAGTATGTGATGTGTTTCAGAGGGCCAGGCTTAAGCTCCCAGCACACTTCCATTCCAGCAGCTAAGTAAACAGGCTATGTGATTACACATGGAGGGGCCTCTGTCTCTGGACCCTCATTGGTCTGGACAGGCTTGAAAGTATCCATGGAGCCAGTCAGGAGGAATTTGAGGTACTAACGCCACTCTAAGGAGGAGACATTTGTATGAGCCTGGTAAACAGCTGACCACTCACTTGGCAAGCTCTGCCCTCCTGCTTTTCTCTCTTTCC